TATACACAACTAAAGACCAACTGGAACTTATACACAACTAAAGACCATGGGAAACTTACAAACAACTTAATAAAAAGGGGAACTTATACACAACTAAATACCATGGGGAACTTATACACAACTAAATTCAAAGGGGAACTTATACACAACTAAATTCAAAGGGAGACTTATACACAACTAAATACCCAGGGAAACTTATACACAACTAAATACAAAGGGGGACTTATAAACAACTAAAGACCAAGAAGAATTTATACACAACTAAATACAAAGGAGAATTTATACACAACTAAAAACAAGAACTTATACACAACTAAAGACCAAGGGCAACTTATACACAACTAATGATAAAGGGGAACTTATTCACAACTAAATACAAACGGGATTTTATACACAACTAAAGACAAAGGGGAACTTATACACAACTAAAAACAAAGGAGAACTAATACACATCTAAATACCAAGGGGGACTTATACACAAATAAATACATAGGGAAACTTATACACAACTAAAGACATAGAGAAACTTATACACAACTAAAGACCAAGGGGAACTTATACACAACTAAAAACTGTGGGGAACTTATACACAACTAAAGACCAAGAGAAAGTTATACACAACTAAATAAAAAGAGGAACTTATATACAACTAAAGACCATGGGGAACTTATATAGAACTAAAGACCAAGAGGAACTTATAAACAACTAAAGACCAAGGCAAACTTATACACAACTAAAGACCATGGGGAATTTATACACAACTAAATTTAAAGGGGAACTTATACACAACTAAACACAAAGACAAACTTATATCCAACTAAATACAAACAGGAACTAAAGACAAAGGGGAACTTATACACAATTAAAGACTACAGGAAATTGATACACAACTAAATAAAAAGAGGAACTTATACACAACTAAAGACCAAGAGGAACTTAAACACAACTAAAGCCCATGGGGAAGTTAAACACAACTGAATACAAACGGGAACTTATAAACAACTAAACACCATAGAGAACTTATACAAAACTCAATACAAAGGGGAACTTATACACTTCTAAAGACGAAGGGGAACTTATACACAACTAAAGACCCAGGGGAATTCATACAAAACTAAAGACCATCTGGAACTTATACACAACTAAATACAAAGGGGAATTTATAGACAACTAAAGACCATCTTGAACTCATACACAACTAAATACAAAGGGGAATTTATACACAACTAAAGACCATGGGGAACTTATACAGAACTAAATTCAAAGGGGAACTTATACACAACTTAAGACCATGGGGAACTTATATACAACTAAATTCAAAGGGGAACTGATACACAACTAAAGAACAAGAGGAACTTATACACAACTAAAGGCCAAGGGGAACTTATACACAACTAAAGACCATGGGGAATTTATACACAACTAAATTCAAAGGGGAACTTATACACAACTAAAGACCAACTGGAACTTATACACAACTAAAGACCATGGGAAACTTACAAACAACTTAATAAAAAGGGGAACTTATACACAACTAAAGACCAAGGGAAACTTATACACAACTAAAGACCAAGAGGAACTTATACACAACTAAAGACCAAGAGGAACTGATACACAACTAAAGACAAAGGGAAACTTATACACAACTAAAGATTAAGAGGAACTTATACACAACTAAATACATAGGGGAACTTATACACAACTAAATACATAGGGGAACTTATACACAACTAAATTCAAAGGAGAATTTAAACACAACTAAAAACCAAGAGGAACTCATACACAACTAAAGACAAAGAGCAACTTATACACAACCAAAGACCAAGGGGGACTTATACACAACTAAATACGTAGTGGAATTTATACACAACAAAATACAAAGGGAAACTAATATGCAACTAAAGACCAAGGGGAACTTATACTCAATTAAAGACCAAGGGGGACTTATACACAACAAAAGACCAAGAGGAACTTATACACAACTAAATAAAAGAAGAACTTATATACAACTAAAGACCAAGAGGAACTTATACACAACTAAAGACAAAGGGGAACTTATACACAACTAAAGACGAAGGGGAAATTATACACAACTAAATACAAAGGGAAACTTATACACAACTAAAGACCAAGAGGAACTTATACACAACAAAAACCAACGAGAACTTATACACAACTAAAGACCAAGGGGAACTTATACACAACTAAATAAAAGAAGAACTTATATACAACTAAAGACCAAGAGGAACTTATACACAACTAAAGACAAAGGGGAACATATACACAACTAAAGACCAAGAGGAACTTATACACAACTAAAGACCAAAAGGAACTTATACACAACTAAAGACCAATAGGAACTTATACATTACTAAATACAAAGGCGAACTTATACACAACTAAAGAACAAGGGGAACTTATTTTTACTGATCAAATTTGAAAAGCAATCATCAAGATACAGCCAAAACAAACTACAACTGTTGTATTCTAAGATGGCCAGCAGTCAGTCATATCTTCTCATCATCAGTTCCAGAAATGAAAATGTATAACAAAATCAACACAGATTATCAAATCGATACTTTGAAATGACGTCATTTATATGTCACATGATCCACATCCCTTGTGTTTCCACTTCCGGGTCAAGATAGTGACGTCACATAATTGTTAAGAATGTGCACAGAGCGTGTTTAGCTTGTCTCACCCTAGGGTGAGATTAGGAAATCTAACACCGTTAAAACGTGTGGATATCCCTGTCCAGGGTAAGAGAAAAGGGAAGTCTAATACTAAAATCTGAGATGGATCCATACTGTTCTTCTCAAGAAAGAACAACAAAAAACCTAATAATCTAATAATTAAAATCTTATATGGCCAACTGTCAGTCAATATTTTTCCGATCAGTCCCAAATTTTAATTTGGAGAACCAATGACTAAGAGGAATCTACTTATGAACCTTGAGAAAGATTCATCCTCTTCTTTGAAAGAAATAGTGATAACAAGAAAGTTTTAAAAAAAACTGATCAACATTGGACCACTGAAGGAAGACTATTGAACAGTCGACCATCTGCTGACAGTGGGCTTAAATCGGTTTGTAACAATTATTTTCAGCTTTGAGAATGAGATCTTTGGGCAAATCCTGTGTTTCATAAAATTTTCAACCATTTTCAGTATTTGTTCTGTAAACTGCAAGATGAAGTTTGGTTAATCATTTGACTCTACAGTATCTAAATCCAAACTTGTATTGAACAAGAGGCCCATGAGCCTTAACGGTCATCTGACAAGATTTCAAATTTTGAATTCATTTCACCTGGATCTAAGAATCAAGGGCACTCAGTCACAACCTTGAAAGTGGTTTAAGGTTATTCATTTCAACAAACTTATTAAACCTTCATCCCAGCATGCAACAGGCCACATATCATCACCCTGGGTGTTCAGTTTGGCTTCCAAAACATTCCAGAAAATTTTATTTCTGTGCACAAAGATGTCAGGAAGCAAATTATCTCCCTTGCAATATTATACCATATTGCTCAAAACTGTTGAAAATCTATTCTTCCACACCTATGTTCACCATAAATAAATTCTTCTTAATATATAAACACAAATATCGTAAATTTATAATTCTAGTATATTAAACACTGTACAATTATGACAGGAAATTGAAATATTAAACATTTGGATCAGCAACATGTATGACGCATTTTGTATTCTTAATTAAAATCAAATATATACATAGTGACATAAACGATTAAGACCACTTGTGACTTATGATTAGTATATATACTATTGACTTATAATTTTTCATTAATGCGATAAATTGTTTCTTTTTAACTTACTGAAGGAGGCAAGGTTACATGTACATCGCTATCTGTGACTGTGTTGCCGATAGTGATGATGCAGATCGAATATATGTCAGACAAAATAAGATGTTTTTGACATGTATTCTGCATATGGAGGAAAATATGCCGATTAACATATTTCAATTTCGGACAGTATTTTACTGCCATGGCTTTTCGTGACCTTTTTCCTCATTAACATAAGTTCAGTTTCATTTCATTATTCTCAGTCACTTGAATGTTTGGGAGGCGTACACTTTTATATGATAACTTATCGCTATAAAAAGGCACTTGAGAATGGCACTTTGGGTATAAGGTAAGGTGACAAAACAAGTCTCGGTGCCTCGTGGTTATCAAAAAGAAGTTTGTTAAAAGATTTTATGAGAAGGAGTTGGCAGCAATCTTGGATTTCAGACTGACCCAAAATTAACAAACTTTGGTTGGTGCTATATCACGATCATTTCATGCAAGTTTAGGCTCAATCGCACTGGTAGAACTTGAGAAGAAGTTGATAAAGTTCAAAATGGCGGCCATTGCAGCCATGTTGGATTTTGGACTGACCCGAAATTAACAAACATTGGTTGGAACCATGTCATGATCACTTCAGGTAAGTTTCAGCTCAATGTCACAGTAGAACTTGAGAAGAAGTTGAAATTGTGTTTTCAAGATGGAGGCCATGGTGGCCATCTTGGATTTCGGACCAACCCGAAATTAACAAACTTTGGTCAGGACCATATCATGATCATTTCAGGTAAGTTTCAGTTAATGTCACAGGTAGAATTTGAGAAGAAGTTGAAAACGTGTTTTCAATGTATTTTCAAAATGGTGACCATGGCGGCCAAGTTGGATTTTGGACTAACCCGAAATAAACAAACTTTGGTCAGTGCCATGTCATGATCATTTCTTGCAAATTTTGGCTCAATCGCACTGTTGGAACTTGAGAAGAAGTCGAAAATGTGTTTTCAAGATGGCGGCCATGGTGGCCATCTTGGATTTCCCAACAACCCGAAATTATCGCCTTCTCGACAATATACCCTAAAATCAGTCAAGCGTGATGTCATTGTCTGACTTCGTAAGCTTCTTTAGTCCAAATCATGCAGCATGATCAAGCCAAGGTGGATTTTTTTCAAACTAATAATGGCATTTAGATTTCATTATTGACCAAGATGCCACATTTTCAGAGGGGTAGAACAATTGTGATGATGATGGATTGTCATAGTCAAACTGCTGTTGAACGGCCTCCCACTTCCTGGATGAGGGTACCCAGTTGGACAGGAGGAACATCTGCAGAGGTCTGATGTGAATCCTTCCTAGTGGGACCACATCTGCAAGGGAGTTGAGATACCCCAGAAAACTGAGGAACCAACGCACCTGGACATGCCACCAAGCGATGAAGGTCAGAGCAGAGGGGGCATCTTTCAGATCTACTGAAGTTGCCCACATTCCATCCTGCACAGAGAAAATAATGCCCTGTGGGGTTTCCATCTTGAAGCGAGGAGAATCTATGTGCCTGTTGAAGGCACTGTCACCTATGATCAGACGCCGTGCTACGGACTTTTTCCGAACCAGAAACATTCTGTAGTAGAAGCTGGGAATGCATTCCGACATAGGAACCTCCTCTACCATGCCCTTGGCAAGTATGGTCCCTCCTTCCTCCTGGAGCACCCGAGCTTTTTTACCTATCCACTGGAGGAGGAAAGGAAATTGGCTGGGCAGCGAGGGTTGGATCCTGAAGAAGGGGGATACCTAGACCCTCCCTGACCACAGACAATGCCCAAGTGTTCACGTGATCTCCCGCCACTGCAGAAGAAAAACAGAAAGACTCCCCAACCCCCCCCCCCCCCCCCAAAAAACCCCAAACCAGGAAGTTCTGGATAGGGCAGATCGAGACCCTGCCAGACACCAGCATATCCTCTGCACACCTGAAACCTAATCCTGCGGGACAGGAACAAGAGCTTGAGACGGGAGGACCGCCGGCTCTTGGTCTGCTGTGGCCAAGGAGCTGAAGGCGTCAGGAACCCTTCTTCTTGTCCTCAGGAGGGTTCTTACACTTCCTACCCTTCCCCTTGTTGTTCTTGAAGCAAGGCTTGAGCAAAAGGCTGAGCAGCCGAAGACATCACCCTCTTCTTGGGAGAACCGGAGGTAAAGGACTTACCAGGATGCTTCTCCTGCCGGAAGAGGATAAATCCCAAAGAAATGGTAACACCCATGTGCTGAACCCCGACAAAACCCGGCACTAGCCGTACTTGAAACAATAATCAAAAATTGTAAATAATAAAAACAGGCAGGAAAGTTTCAGACAAAACTAACAAAACAAACCACACACAAAAGCAAAATACCAACATAACGCGGCAAAAACTGCAAGAAACAGCCACATCAAAACAGACAAAGCAGGAAAATGATTAAAAAAACTTCACGTAACCAAAACGGCGAAACAAATGGTCACGCACTCGAACATGTAGAGAAAAACACGGCGAAAAATAGACACAAACATAAAACAAAGTCTTAAACGACAATATAAACTGAAAGATGGGTAGATAAATTCAAATTGAGTAAAAAATAATACTCCATAAAGCCATAAAGGAAAGAGGACAGGAGATCACTCTATGTTTCTAACTGTGACGGTTCATGCTCTATTGTTTTTGGGAAACAAAGATGGGTGTAGGGTTACTATATTTGCATACTAAAGTTACGGTAATTATTACTGAAATGAAATGCATAATTTAATTGTGCATTTCCTTTTTTGTTGAGTATAAATTTATATTGAAAGGTGCTATTTAAATGTATGTCATTTGTACAGTCTTTTAAGCTCCTTAACCAAGGTTAATATTTGCTCCTTCATTTTCAAACATCTTTTTCAGTTTTTGAAAACTCTATATGTTGTGACACGCAGTTAAATCCCATTTTAAGTCCACTTACACTTGGCCACTATGTTGTCTACAAATCCCATCTGTAGCCTGAAGCTGATGAAATGTCGTAAGTGATTCACCTGTGAATACAGCACATCATTAACATCATGTCTAGAATCAACACCAATAGATTCTAACTGAAGAAAGTACATAAGAAATATCAGGTTTAGAATCAAAACTAATAGATTCTAGCTGAAGAAAATATCTGAAACAACCTTAAAATTTGAAGTTAGAAGTAAGGAAATTACATCAGTATCATATTGAACATTTAATTAATCAACAAACATACCAATTTTCGGAAGGTAGCCAATATAATGAATTGCTCTCTTTTATTTCCCTGATAAAAGGCAATTTCTTCACTGCAAAATGAAAGACAACAAATATACACAAGATCACTAATACAAACAAATGCAAACATAGTACATGAATTTGACCTATCCTACGTCAAAATGAAGTGGTATTTCAGAAAATTTGTCTGCCATTTTTATGTGAATAGCAGTTTGTCTCATTTTCTAATTAATTAGTTGTGTTCACAATTTATTTTTCTATCAATAATTATGAAGAAGCTAGATAGGTGAAACAAATATTACAATCCTTAATTCAGACTTACTGTTACTAATTACATTATTCACTGATGACTTTTCTCACCTGTTAGTAATAAGTCTAGAATTGACATATCTGTATTCCCCCTCAAGTCTTTGTTCAATCACAGTCAGTTTTCCAACAGGTCTCCTCAACCTGTCCAACACAAATCAGTAATGATATTGAACATATTTGAGTGACAATATTTTTACTTTCCTTAACAGTGAGGCAATATTTACAAATTTAAACAAGAGATCCCAGAGGGATCTTGGCATTCACCATTGTTTGATCTTTACATGCTCTTTTAAAGTTGGGTCTTTTCCTTTCTTTTTGTCTCTCTTCTCTGATTTTGCTGATAATGAATAGACGTTTGAACATTCCTTTGCAGGAATAGTGATGATAATCTTTACCTGCCAAATCCAAAATGGTCGCCTGGAAGCCATTTTGCTTCATTTGATCAATCCCAAAATCAGATAGGCACAACTATGGACCAAGGGGAACCTATATATGCAATTTCAGAAGTATCTATGTTGTAGTAGTAGTTCCCAAGAAATAGCGATAACAAACTTTCAAAGTCAAAATCAAAGATGGCTGTTTGTCGGCCATTTTATTTTTTTCTGATCAGTACCAAGATCAAACAGGTACAACTAGGGATCAAGGGAAATATACATATGAAATTCAAGAAAGATCCATCCAGCATTTCTCAAGAAATAGCAATTAACAAACTTTCAAAGTCAAAATACAAGATGGCCACCTGTCATCCATTTTGTTTCTTTGATCAGACCAAAAATCAGAAAAGCACAACTAGGGACCAAGGGGAACCTATATATGAAATTTCAGAAAGATTTATGTTGTAGTTCTCAAAAAATAGCGTTAACAAACTTTCAAAGTCAAAATCAAAGATGGCCACATTTCTGCCATTTTGTTTTCCTGATCAGTCCCAAAATTACATGGGCACAACAAGAGACTAAGGCGAACTTACATATGAAATTTGAGAAATTTGAGAGAGATCCGTCTCTTACTTTTCAAGAATAGCGATAACAAACTTCATTGAAAAATTCCAAGATGGCTACCTATCAGCAAGTTTGATTTTTTTGATCTGGCCCAAAATCAAATGGGCACAACTAGGGACCAAAGGAACCTACACATGCAATTGAGAAAGATCCATTCAGTATTTCTCAAGAAATAGCGATAACAAATTTGTTTACAGACGGACCAACGGACCACAGACCACGGACCACAGACGCAGAGCGATTTGAATAGCCCACCATCATTAATAAAATTATGAAATTCTGTTTATTCTGCAACATTTCAAAATTGCTACAGCAGACAGACATTGGTTATTTCTAGAAGCAAAGATAACTTAAATTGATCAAGTTGACTCCACGTACCTGGTAAGTATAAGACCTGAAACGGCCAAATAAACCAACATCTTAGCTGGTCCCTACAACACAAAATACACACTTATCAGGAAGTGGTCCAAACCTCAGTCTCATATGTGCTTGTTTTAATTGTAATGGTGCTAACTGCAAAAGTCAGCCAGTAGACTTTTTGACTTCATATCATCAAGGTGCGACTCAGTGTTGATGACAGGTGCATGCTATGTGCCCCTATCATTTCATATCAATGTAATGTTACAGTACAAAGTCACAAACAGGGATATAAATAAAAATGATGTATGTAAATTAAGTGCTGTAAGACTTCTACTAGACATAAGTTTTACATATTACGAACTTGTCATCAATAATTACCTGAATTCCTATACTTCCAGCTAACTTGACTGTATACAGGATAACATCCAGTATCGGCTGTAATATAGATATACATAGACCATTAATTAACTTGGTGGAGTAAAGAATGAAGCCAAGGGCCATTACACAAATATATATGTACAGTGACTCTGTTGCCAAGGCAACCAAACCTTTTGCAAAAAATAAAAAGGAAAAAAAACCTGCCTGCAAATTTACGCAAGCCCAAAATCCCTCTAATCAGAGATCTTATATTTGGTTACCATGACTACAAAATGACATCAGTGGTTTTGGAAAATAGTGCCATAACTACCAATCTTCAAAACCCTTATATAATGATTTTCAGCATAATCAGGCAATATCTGAATTTCAACCAATCAGAAGCTACCATTACATTTCTATGTTAATGGTTCCAAAAACACCAGATGCGTATATACCGCGGATAGTCAAGTTTTGTTAAAATCTATCCATGGGCTAATGAGCTATTGGCCATTACACAAAAACCTGTGTACACTAATCTGATAATTAAAATTTTTGCTGAAAAAACCTGCACATCTGCACATGGTCCCTAACATTTCTGCATAAATTCATTGAAATTTTTTTCACAACTTTAGGATGAGTTTTCCAGACATTTGTCTATGGACAGACAAGCTGATTCCATTATAACTTCAATTTCCCTATCCCTATCCCCCTCCATCAAAAATTTGTTTTTTTCTAAATGTGGGATGAGTGGGCTTGAGTAATGATGCTAATTGCTAAACACAAGTTATCCTGTTAAGTGTTTGTTTTTTAAAGAGTCATATATAACTTTTGTTTACAATTACTAACCCATAGTATTCATAATACACTGAAAAATCCTAATCCATGTTTCCTCCAGAAGTTGTTCTATAAATCGCAAAGTTTTCCCTTTGTTAAGACATGTTGTAACACAACAACATAACCTTATCAGTTCACCCTGTGTAAGTAAACATACATTTCACTGTGTAATCAAATTGTTAGATCTACGCTGAATCTCTAGTTTCCAATCACAAGAAAAATCTACTGTTAGAAATCCTGTTAGAAAACAGTCCAGTGTGAATACTTGTCCTGTATTGCAAAGTAATTTGAGTACCTTGCTAAGATTAGAGTAAAGTTCAGCCACAGAGTCACAGAATTTGTCCACATCCTGTGTGAGCAGCTGGTCAGGGTTAGAAATCCGGTTGTCTAGGTTACACATTTTGTAATATGTAAAACCTCTGTAAATAAAATAACAGTCAAATGTTTTACCAATAAGACTTAGCTCCTCATCTCAAGAACATAGTAGCTTTCTGTTAATCATCAAGGCACCAATAATTTTTGACATCAACTGCTTAAATTTCATTGAAAAATAAATACCCTGTATGTCATTGCAATAATTTCATTTCATTTATATATAAGTTACTCTGTACTGGCAAGAAAATACTGCAACTGGAGCAGATCAACATTGGGCAGCAGGCTTTGAATGAATTACAAAAATATAAAGCAAATGAAGGCAAATGGTGCAACATTAAAGTATGATATTTTACTTACTGTAAATATTTTTGATACAGATTTTCAGACAATCTGGTACGGAATCTCAATTTCAACTCATTCAGCCCATACTGTAACAAAGGAAAAATGCACAATAAATGTTTTGAGTAATGAAGACATCAACATCAATGAACTGTGGAGATTTTTCATGCACTGTTAAAATAAGATAAAAAAAGATTTAATATGCTATTTTTTTCCACTAAATACAGTATTTTAAAAAAAACACAAAATTTTAATCCCATAAAAACTGTGATTTTACAATACATGACTTCATCAACATTCTCTGGCTAAAAATATTTTTTCTCCTCTGTAAGAAACATGGGCCATCAGAGACAGGTTATGCTCCCCATATGGGGAAAAATTTAAGTATGAAAAATTACACTGCTCTTCTGCTCACTGAAGTCTATCTACCTATAGAGTTTCTTAAAGTTTTAGTGTAATACTCTGGACAAAATTGAAGTATGGAAAATAACTCTAAAATCATGTGAAAGAGAGTGATGGTTCATGTGCAGTGCACTTTTCCTTGTTCAGATTTATCTAACTATGAAGTTTTATGTTGATACCTCTTACAGCTTTTTGTGTTATGCTCCAGACAAAATCAGGACGGACAGACAAACGGACAGACAGACAAAGCAGCGACTAATAAAAAGGCTTAGATGTCAATTAGAATTTTAATGTTATAATATTTCTCTACTGTATTACAAATGACATGTATCCGATCATGAGTCAGAAAAATGTTGTTTTATTATAAAGGTATTTACTTACCTTCAAAGCATTATTTGTACAGGAAATCTGTAAAAATGAAACAAAACCAGTTCACAAGCAACATATAGTTTTAAAGAAAACAAAGTTTGAATAAGTGCCCATAACATCATTAACATGACTGATGGTAAGATAAAATCACCTGTTTGTTATTTATTAATTTATCAATAACATTGATTTACTCACCAAGGGCATAGCATAGATAAATTTGAAGAGATATTTCTTGAACAATTCCATATCCCGTCCAATGATGGCACTGAAATAGAAATAAACGTATATGGGAAAAACATATAAATGACTGATAAACTTTAGGCACTCAAAGTAATTCAAGGACAGATTTCAGTTTAAATTCACACATGCAATATATTAATCTCCCTTCAAAACCAGATTCACAGATCAATGGATGCCATCTAGAAAGAAATTTAAAAAACAATCACATGTAGTAACTGTAAGTAACTGTATGTGGTAGGTACCTTTCTATTGATGTGCCATTCTGTATCATCCAAACATCAGCATAGGTTCGTGCAATCAGAGCAGCAGCCACAAGGAACATGTACCAGGCCTGTGTAGTAAACAAACACCAACATATCTACATCTCATTCAATTTCAGGTAAGTGTTAGTAAAACAGTAACTGTAATAAAAACATCAGCTTTACCTCTGATGTTAACAGAGACATTCTCCTCTACTCTGATGTTAACAGAGAGACATTCTCCTCTACTCTGATGTTAACAGAGAGACATTCTCCTCTACTCTGATGTTAACAGAGAGACATTCTCCTCTACTCTGATGTTAACAGAGAGACATTCTCCTCTACTCTGATGTTAACAAAGAGACATTCTACTCTACTCTGATGTTCTCCTCTACTCTGATGTTAACAGAGAGACATTCTCCTCTACTCTGATGTTAACAGAGAGACATTCTACTCTACTCTGATGTTAACAGAGAGACATTCTCCTCTACTCTGATGTTAACAGAGAGACATTCTCCTCTACTCTGATGTTAACAGATAGACATTCTACTCTACTCTGATGTTCTCCTCTACTCTGATGTTAACAGAGAGACATTCTCCTCTACTCTGATGTTAACAGAGAGACATTCTCCTCTACTCTGATGTTAACAGAGAGACATTCTACTCTACTCTGATGTTCTCCTCTACTCTGATGTTAACAGAGAGACATTCTCCTCTACTCTGATGTTAACAGAGAGACATTCTACTCTACTCTGATGTTCTCCTCTACTCTGATGTTAACAGAGAGACATTCTCCTCTACTCTGATGTTAACAGAGAGACATTCTACTCTACTCTGATGTTAACAGAGAGACATTCTACTCTACTCTGATGTTCTCCTCTACTCTGATGTTAACAGAGAGACATTCTCCTCTACTCTGATGTTAACAGAGAGACATTCTACTCTACTCTGATGTTAACAGAGAGACATTCTCCTCTACTCTGATGTTAACAGAGAGACATTCTCCTCTACTCTGATGTTAACAGAGAGACATTCTCCTCTACTCTGATGTTAACAGAGAGACATTCTCCTCTACTCTGATGTTAACAGAGAGACATTCTCCTCTACTCTGATGTTAACAGAGAGACATTCTACTCTACTCTGATGTTCTCCTCTACTCTGATGTTAACAGAGAGACATTCTCCTCTACTCTGATGTTAACAGATAGACATTCTCCTCACCTCTGATGTTAACAGTGGGACATTCTCCTCTACTCTGATGTTAACAGAGAGACATTCTCCTCTACTCTGATGTTAACAGAGAGACATTCTCCTCTACTCTGATGTTAACAGAGAGACATTCTCCTCTACTCTGATGTTAACAGAGAGACATTCTCCTCTACTCTGATGTTAACAGAGAGACATTCTCCTCTACTCTGATGTTAACAGAGAGACATTCTACTCTACTCTGATGTTAACAGATAGACATTCTCCTCACCTCTGATGTTAACAGAGAGACATTCTCCTCACCTCTGATGTTAACAGAGAGACATTCTCCTTACTTCTAATGTTAACAGAGAGACATTCTCCTCACCTCTGATGTTAACAGTGGGACATTCTCCTCACTTCTGATGTTAACAGTGGGACATTCTCCTCACCTCTGATGTTAACAGAGAGACATTCTCCTCACCGCTGATGTTAACAGAGAGACATTCTCCTCACCTCTGATGTTAACAGTGGGACATTCTCCTTACCTCTGATGTTAACAGAGAAACATTCTCCTCACCTCTCATGTTAACAGAGAGATATTCTCCTTACGTCTCATGTTAACAGAGAGACATTCTCCTTACCTCTGCAGTGAACCATCCAGGAATTAGAACTTTGAGAATTTTAAACAGACGTCTGTAAGGAGAAAAAACAACATAAAAAAGAATTATATGAATCTTTATTCATCGACTTCATTAACCAATAACTGTTGCATCAATCTTGATTTTACATTCATTGATAGGTATCTTCAACATGAAGCAACTCAAATCCAATAGATTCATATCTCTAGTAATCTGAATAATTCTCATTTAATTTTGATGAAAATTAATTCAAGTATGTTTACAATGTACCAAGAAGCCTGATGGGCCTGCATTGCTCACCTGGTATATTTATTGCCTCCAGGCCTATTAGTTCATGAGTAGAATTTTTTTAAAGGTTTTAACAAATTTGACCGCTGTGACCTTGAATATATGTCAAGACAATTTCTTTTTGCTAACTTTGTCAGGCTTCATCCTAAGAACATACCAGTCAAACATCATTTTTCTTGGATATTTAAGTTCATGAAAAGAAGTCATTTAAATGTTCAAACAAATTTGACCACAGTGACCTTGAATATTAATCAAGGTCATTTTAAATCCAAGGAACATATCAGCCAAATATTATGTCTCTAGGCCTATTAGTTCTCCAAGGGGCCAGGTTTATTATCAATATTATATAAAACTAAGTTTTTTCAGTAATATCTCACCTAAAAAAGATTCCATCTACAGCAGCCCTCTCCTTCTTCTGACTGACAGTCTAGAACATCACAAAGAAAATCACTTAAGGCTATGTTAAATCACAAGTCATTTCTATTGTGATTTTAACTTCACTTTTTCATATCCATTCATTTTTCTTTCCTTTAATCTGAACACATAAACAATTTGCATATATTCATTGCCACTTGCACCGGAAAACTTGCAATTTGATTTATCTTCACAAGTTGACTAATTTCCCCAGTATGGAAAACTTCTACTCTGGAAAATTTGGGCCTGGAACGAAGTTGTCTGAATTATAGAGTTATAAATACATCATGTATATTCTTACCTCATGGATTACCACTTTGATATCTGCTTCTTTCCTAAAATAGAAAAGGTAAAAAGTACAAATGTGTACTGCTAACTTATAAGGTAGTTAGGACTGATTCATATACATATGTAGATATTAATACAAATTTAGATGATAATATTACAGTGTACATGTAGAATGTCACTGATTTCAGGTTACTTTTACCATAATTTCCACTGTATACACATGTGTAATATCCATCATGTGTTCAATATGTTACATAATCACACTACACTCTCTTAATCCAAATAAAATCCAAGATTTTATATATTCTTGAACCAGCCTTTTTATCATCACAGCTTTTACTTGACAAATAACAACACTATGGAAGGTTTATTTTGGTTCCCTGTATAAATATAAAACTGGGTTTCAATCCATAAATCTCTAGGAACACAATAGGGGTTCTCTTAGAACACTGGGGTTTATTTAGCTTATCTGTGAGAACACTAGGGTTGATTTAGGTTATCTGTGAGAACACTAGGGTTGATTTAGGTTATCTGTAAGAAAGCTGAGGTTTATTTTGGTTATCTGTGAGAACACAAGGGTCGATTTAGGCTATCTGTAAGAACACTAGGGTTGATTTAGGTTATCTTTAAGAACACTAGGGTTTATTTTGGTTATCTGTGAGAAAACTAGGGTTGATGATATGGTTGATTTAGATTATCTGTGAGAACACTACAATTGATTTAGGTTATATGTGAGAACACTAGGGTTGATTTAGGTTATCTGTGAGAACACTGGGGTTGATTTTGGTTATCTGTAAGAACACTAGGGTTGATTTAGGTTATCTGTGAGAACACTAGGGTTGATTTAGGTTATCTGTGAGAACACTGGGGTTGATTTTGGTTATCTGTGAGAACACAAGGGTTGATTTAGGTTATCTGTAAGAACACTAGGGTTGATTTAGGTTATCTGTAAGAACACTAGGGTTGATTTAGGTTATCTGTGAGAACACTAGGGTTGATTTAGGTTATCTGTGAGAACACTGGGGTTTATTTTGATTATCTGTGAGAACACTGGGGTTTATTTTGGTTATCTGACACTGAGCTTCCTATTTGAGAGTAACAGAGGAAATATGATGTATACTGTACATACCCATGCCGGATTTTGAAAGCATGACACCTACGTATTTGCTGGAAGGAATTACCTCTAATCACACTCAGGTAAATCAGTGTTAGAGACAGTCTTCCTTTTTAATACTGAGTTGGTAAATACACTAGAATTGGACGCTAAAAATGTGAAATAATAATTGAAAATTAAAAAATCCTGCAAAATTATCGTCGTTGCCCTGCATTATACCTAATGCAAAGAGAGTATGACTATTGTGATATGTGCAATCGTGCGTGGCCTTCCTACCATTGCCCTCTAGAACAAGCGTTCAAAATGTACTAAAGCAGCGGATCATACCTGTTGGATTAATTATATACAGCTTTTATATATAAGAATTCATGTTACATGTATTATACGTAAACTGGTTGTATGATAGATATGGTGCGACGATCTAGTCCATGAAATAGTGTTCCGATTTTTGACCTGTGAAATGGACTTTGGTTACAGTTACTGCACAGCCTCTGAATATTGTGTAAGCCTATAAATATAAGTGCCAACACAAGAGGAGATATCGGATGTAATATCATCTTCAATAACAAAATCATCATACCCTCTGGCTCGTTTGTCAGCTATGTTCTTGTAAACCAGAAAAGATCCTGCAGCAACGGCTGTTAACAACGCCGAATTCCTCGGCGTCAATTTGCTGAAGGCAGCCATGTTTTACAGGGACTTCCGCCAGGTTGTACAATCTAATATTAAAAACGTGTTTCGTATCCGGATTAGTAAAAACCTGTAATAAGATTTATGTGTCCATTTTTCTTTATAAATTTATATTGCTACATTTTAAAAGAAAAAATAATCAAAGAAGACTAATGTTTGATATATCTTAAATATATCATTGGCGAATTGGTTTCTGACACCTTAAGAACCATGTCACGCTAATGAATTTCCTCAGTAAAGAATAATTCTGGAGCGGACTTATATTTAACCATAAGCTGATGATTTACGTAGGAACATTCAGTTTTCACCAGCACATCATCTTTAAATCATTGTCAACAACAACAACAACTGAAATCAAATAGGTATCATTGTATTCCCAAAAATATCCATTTAGTTCCTCCAATGATCTGATTAGTACTTATGATAAATCGAGGAAAAACTCAGAGACAGATCTTGCGTGTGGACTTGTTCTTTTTTAATTTTGTTTTCTTTCTTGGTGAAATAACTATCATTGGGTTGATATGTAACCCTGGTAAAATACTAGCCGCAATCAGAGACGTGTATAACGTGTTATATACGTCTCTGCCGCAATATACCACTCGGCTAGCGAAAACTTCTCTTTATCTCGATTGGTTGAGCGTCAGACTAGTAAGCCATGGGTCCTGGGATCGATTCCTAGCGGAGGCATTGAGATGAAAAATGATCTCTGTTACACATAAGTGAAGGAATTATGTGGTAGTGTAACGTGCAGCCTAGCTTTGCACACGGTGGGTAAGTCTCTGATTCCTTGCAGAGATACTAGCTAACAAATGCCGATATATATATATAGCGTGGAACAGCAAACTCTACCTGAGTTAACAATGGGTAAGTCTCTGATTCCTTGCAGAGATACTAGCTAACAAACGATATATATATAACGAACGAACTAGTATTCGCATGGACTGCTGTCCCGACACAGACTGTTCTGACTAGCATGTGAGCGTGAGTGCAAGCTCGACACCCAGTGACTTCACCTAACCCTAGTTCCAACTACTGAACTAATCGCCGAGCAATACCACTTAGTCGGTCCTGATTAAGCACTAGGTTGTCCTAGCAACTAAGTCAACCCTTGCTCGTGTTCCTAGCTCGGGTTCTAACCTAACCCTATAGCTAGCTACCCACAGTCAAAAGTCCAAGCTTCGGTGAGAACTAAAGAGCTCTCGCATCAGCTTGACAAGCGGTTTCGGAAAAGCCACTATTTCAGACTTTCACCCACCACCTGTTACAAATGACTGTTTGACTTGCTTAGTAAGAAGTCTTTTGTGGTCCGTGTATCTCTGAAAGCTTCACCAACAGTCAGTACAACAGCGCTCGCAATCATTCAAAGTAATTTCTATTTACATGTATAATAAACTCTTTCATTAGGTGTGACAATTGTTGGTATTTAATTTACCATAAATGATGCAAACTAAAATATTAACATAGTACAAAATACCTTTCCATATCCTACTACATAATTATAAACATTTGTATTAATCGACAAAAATCATTAGATGAACAAATTAACCAATATGTAATTAGCTATAATCATATTCAAGGGACATAAATCTTATACTTCAATTTCCATTACACAAGTCATATTCAAGGGACATAAATCTTATACTTCAAATTCCATTACATTACCCACGCCTCCGACTTATGCGTCCCGCATAACGATCATTAACAAATTATTTTCATTTTTTTCTTTTCTTTTAACAACCGACACAAAACAACAACTTGATCATGAAATACAGTCAACAATAGTCCTGTTTTACGAAAGATATAGTGTCCCAAATTCTGCACCCAGCAGGTATGGACATATTATATGATAATCTGCCCGTCCACCTCCTTTACCTTCCTGTCACCATCTCTATATGTGACAATTTTTCTAATCACTCTCTTACAAGTGTAGGGTCCCTCGGTCTGTACACCTATATCGCACAACCGCTTAGCAGATGGACCAGACAACTTGGGCTCCGGTTCCATTGCTTTAGCACAAGGTCATGACATAGTCACCGAACTTTGATGGTTTGCGTTTAAGTCTTTTTGGACGACCCATGCGAAAATCATGCTCGTCCTCGCTTTCAGTAGCATCACTAAATGATTCTGCAGACTCGGTATCGGGGCAACATTCATATTTATCAGAAAGAGGTTCGTCAAGGTCTGATCTCTCATGGGATAGTAGCTGGCTTTTCTTTAAGCGCATGCGGTCAACGTGAATGACTTGTGGCTGATTCTTTTGGCCACAATTGACCTTGTAGTTCACGTCATTGATTTTCTCGATAACATCGAATGGCCCTTTCCAATACGATGCAAATTTCGGCGATTGTCCGGCTTCCTTCCTCGGAAAGAATACGTAAACTCGATCTCCTGGCTCAAATGATTGCCAGTACAATTTCCGATCGTGATACTTTTTCTGCCGTTGCATAGCATTTTGTGTGCTTTCTCGGACAAGCGCGTGTGCCTTTTCCATTCGTTCTTGGAGGACCCACACCCAGTCATTTTGAGGTATGCTTTTTATTGGGACTGGCATCTCGTACATCAGATCAAGAGGAGTGCTGACCTCTCGGCCCAACATCAGACTGTTCGGTGTGCAACCCGTGCTTTCATGTTCGACAGACCGATAGGCCATCATAACATATGGAAGCTGCACGTCCCAGTCCGTGTGTGACTCGTTCACGTAAGCACTCAGCATAGTAGCGAGTGTTCTATTAAAACGCTCGACCATCCCGTCCGATTGCGGGTAGTACGGTGTCGTGCGAGTTTTGTTGATACCCAAAAGTCGACACATCTCAGTAAAGAGTTTTCCTTCAAACTGACCTCCTTGGTCGGAGTGTATAGAATTTGGTACTCCATACCTTGCTACAATTTCCTCAACAATGAGTTTTGCAACTGTAACAGATTCCATGTTGCGCATAGGGAAGGCTTCTGTCCATCTGGTGTAGTAGTCGGACACAACCAAAATATACCGATTGCCTTGCCTTGTCATCGGAAGTTCGCCAAGGATGTCTGTCGCGATTCGTTCCATCGGATACCCAACCTGTATCAGTTGCATAGGAGCACGCTTTGTCTTTTGAGGGTTCTTTCTACGGCAGCACTTATCACAACCGGCAATGTAGCGTCGGACGTCTTGTTGTATTCCCGGCCAGTAGTAACTCTGTCTTATCTTAGACAGAGTTTTTGTTACCCCTAGATGACCGGCTGTTCGACTGTCGTGACACTGCTGAAGTACCTTCACCCGTTCCTTACCAGGAACCACGGCCTGGATCTTTGCCTCTTTGTTCCCAGTGCAGGTCCATTTCCGACACAACACACCATTCTCTATTACTAGAGAACTCCACTGATTGTACAGTGATTTGGCAAAGGCATTATTTGTGCTGATTTCCGCATAACTTGGTTGAGTTCCAGTTTCAACTGTTTGCATTACTTCTGACAAATCAGGATCCTCTTTTTGCAGCTTGCTGAAAGTCACCGGTTCGTAAGTACTGTCTATTGATAACTTAGACGGCTTCACTGTTTGAATAGCTTCAACAAATTCCTGACAACAGCTTGGGTGAACATCTGGGGTTTTACAAGGCATTCTACTTAACGCATCAGCGTTCCCATGGAGCCTTCCAGGTCTATGTTGGATTTCCATGTCATACGTAGACAAGACCTCTAGCCAGCGGGCTAACTGTCCTTCTGGCTCCTTCATGCTGGTCAGCCACCGCAGCGAACTATGATCAGTACGCAGCAGAAACCGTCTCCCGTACAAATAGTTCCGGAAGTATTTGGTAAAGAAGACAACCGCAAGAAGTTCCTTTCTTGTAATACAATACGCTCGTTCACTTTTCGTGAGTGCTCTACTTGCGTATGCTATTGGTTTTTCAATCCCGTCTTGTATTTGAGATAAAACTCCACCACTTGAACTGTTGCTTGCGTCAGTGTCCAGGATGAATAAGTCCGTAAAATTGGGATGTGCGAGAATTGGTGCATTTGTCAGTTTACACTTCAACTCATAAAATGCTTCCTGACATTCTTTGGTCCAGACAAAAGCTCTTGACTTCTCGGTCAGTCTGTGAAGAGGTCTTGCAATTGCAGCAAATGACTCTATGAATCTTCTATAATAGCTACAAAGACCGAGGAAGGATCTAACTTCAGAGACAGTTACTGGCTCAGGCCATTCGTGGACTGTCTTAATCTTCTTTGGGTCAGTAGAGCATCCTTCCTCAGACACAATGTGACCAAGGAATTCTACCTGCTTTGCAAACAAACAACACTTTCTGGCCTTTAATTTGAGACCTGCTGAAAGTAGTTTGTCAAACACCTGTGTCAGGTTACTGATCATGTCTTCGAATGATTTTCCCATCACTATGATATCGTCCAGATATATTAGACAGGTCTGCCAATGTAGTCCAGCAAGGATAGTCTCCATGACTCGTTCAAATGTAGCGGGTGCATTGCACAACCCGAATGGCATTAATTTGAACTCAAACAAACCCTTCCTTGTGGAGAATGCAGTCTTTTCCCGAGAGCTCTCATCTACTTCAACTTGCCAGTAGCCCGAACAGAGGTCTAAAGTGGAGAACCACTTAGAACCAGCAAGTTGATCCAAGGACTGATCGATCCTCGGTAAAGGATACGCATCTTTCACTGTCAATGCATTTAGTCGCCGATAGTCGACACAAAATCGTGTCGTTCCGTCCTTCTTCTTAACGAGCACTACACCTGATGCCCAAGGACTTGTCGATGACTGAATTACATCTCTTTCCAAGAGGTCATCAACCTGTTTGTCAACTTCGTCGGCCATGGGTGCAGGCATTCGTCGCAACGGTTGCTTCACCGGTCTTGCGTCTCCTGTATCAATTTTATGCCTGATAATGTCAGTTCGCCCAAGATCCTTATCAGTTTCAGCGAATAATGGAGAGTACGTTAGAAGCAATTCCCGAACCTGACTTGTCTGCTGAGGTAAGAGAGACTCTTTACTTCTCTCAAACAAC